CTCCTGGCCTCCAGTGCCAGCCTCCTCTCCCAGACTCCTTTCCTGGCTTTCTCTCCCAGCCTCCTCTCCTGGCCTTCCAGACAGGTGCTCCTCCTGAGCCCCAGGCCCAGGTGACGGTCAAACAACCATGATTCTTCATCCGATCCCCTGCGTCCTTGGATAAAACCAAAGAAAACTCCCATTGTCACACGGACTGTTCACCCCTTCCCACCGGCCCGCCCCTCCGGAGGGTGCAGCCCTCAGTCCCCTGCGATGGCCGGGCCTGGAAGTGTGGCCAGTCCCAGCTGAGATGTGCCACAGTGTGAAATACACCCCGATTTCAAAGACTTAGCACCAGTTAGAAAGAGCACAAAATCTCTCATTTCTTATCTTCAGACCAATCACGTGTTGAAATGATAGTATTTGGGGTTAACAAAACATTAAAATTAATTTCACTTTTTAGAATATGGCTACTAAGGAAGTTTGCTTGCATCTGTGGCTCACGCTGTATTTCTATGTGGGACACACAGCTCTGAGTGCCTATTATGGCCGTCCACCTTCCTCCTGCTGCCTTGGGCAAGAATAACCCAGCTTTGCCCAAGCTCCACACTGACAGCATGGGTGTCATTGGGCTGGGGGGTAGGAGTGTGGGGTGTGCAGTCACCATAAATGAGTGCTGGCCGCTGCTCTTTTTCTCTGTCTCCCCCACGGGGGGTTTGGGGCAGCCTACTTAGAAGCCTGTGGCAGGCCGCTGGGGGCATCACTGGGGAAGCCGCCTGGGCTGTGTTGCCCTGAGCACTGCCTTATCTGGGTCCCGACAGCCCCTGCCTGCCCACTGCTTGCCCTGGGCCCGCTGATACCTGTAATCTCCCTGGGCACAGCTGGCCACGTTGCAGGGGCTGGGCTGGCGTCTCTGCTCTCTGACTCAGTCTCCCTCCCACCCCCAAACGAGGGACCTATCTGTCAAGTGTGGGCGGCCGAGATAGCAGCACTGACGTGTGTGTGGATGAACAGGAGGGAACGCTGAGCCCCAGGCTGCGGACACCAGCCCAGAGAGTAACCGAGGTCACCTCTGCAGCTGCGGGCTCTTCGTCCCCCCTCCCCTCTGCTGCTTGTCTGTCTGTCTTGGACCGTCGCATCTGTGGCTTTGGGACAGGGACAGAAGACCCCGGGCGTGTAGGCGGATGCCTTGCCTCTGGGCACGTGTGTGTGCAGGTGACCATGAGGGTGCCCGTGCGTGTGTGAGATGTGCCCGTGTGTCCTGACCGCTTCCCCAGCCAAGCAGAGAGGGCGACCTTGAGGAGCCAGTGGGCACAGCGGCACCATGGCCTCGGCCGCCTCTGTGAGCAGTCTGGTGGATGAGGTCAGCTGCCCCATCTGCCAAGGCACCCTCAGGGAGCCGGTCACCATCGACTGCGGCCACAACTTCTGCCGCAGCTGCCTGACCCGCTACTGTGAGGTCCCGGGCCCGGAGCCAGAGGAGTCCCTCGCCTGCCCGCTCTGCAAGCAGTCCTTCCGCCCGGCGGGCTTGCGGCCCAACTGGCAGCTGGCCAGCGTGGTGGACAACATCGAGCGCCTCAGGCTGGCGCCCACGCCGGGCCTGGACGAGGAGGACGTGTGCAAGGAGCACGGGGAGAAGATCTACTTCTTCTGCGAGGACGATGAGACGCAGCTGTGCGTGCTGTGCCGCGAGGCCTGGGCGCACCAGGCCCACACCGTGCGCTTCCTGGAGGACGCAGCCGGGCCCTACCGGGTAGGAGTCTGTCTCCCCCACTCTGTCAGCATGCAGGCAGCTCTGGGTGCAGGGTCGGTGTTTGTGCATCCGCACGTTCTGAGCTGTTCACTCACGGCCGACATGTAGCTCGGTGAACGTGCACTGAGCGACGGAGTGGCCATGACGTGAGAGTGTGTGTCCGCACACAGGGCCTCAGGACACAGGGTTTGTATGTGAGGGAATGAGGCCCAAACAGTACGGAACAGGCCGGAGTGTTTGCGTGTTCACCAGTGCGCGGCTGACTGAGTGTGTAAGTGTACTGTGGGAGTGGTCATGTCTGTGAGTAAATGCATGTTTGCACGCAGGTTGGGTACACGTATGTGGGGTGCAGCTTTATCTTTCATTAAATCTGAGCACCTTTGAGTCACTCACACACTGTGTTTCAGCAAATGTGGGTGTCTGCACGCATTGGACGGCGAGGGTCCTAACTGTACTTCCGAACGTACACCTACGTGTGTGCACCTCTACCCAACTCTGTTCTAGAGCAAGCAATGTTTAAAACAATTACGGACTATTCTCACATCATCCGAGTTTCTTCTCCCTTCCGGAATCACACGCAGGAAATTGATTGTATTCACAAGAAAAGCTTGTTTGAATTCGTTTCCTCAAGATCAGGGAGAAAGTGGGAATACTTTCAAAGCAGGGCTTGTCGAGCTCAGGACAGTCCCACAGACAGCTTACCAAAGACGAAACAAGTCAGGGTGCTTATCCTGAAGACAGGAAGGCTCAGGGGGGGAAACCAAGGCACAGCGGGTGCTGGCACAGGTGAAGAGGACAGCTTCGATCACAATTCTTGGAAAGCGAAGCAAGAAGAAAAAGACCCCTCAGGCCACCAACCCCTGGAGGCGGGGGGTTGGATGGGATGACCCCTCTTTACAAGTCGATGTTTCCGTCTTAAATGGTTTATGCTCTTTCTCTCCAGGAGCAGATACAGAAGTGTCTTGAGGGTCTAAGAAAAGAGAGAGAAGAGATTCAAAGAATCCAGGCAAGAGAAAACCAGAGGACCCAAGTCCTGCTGGTAGGTCCGTGTCCCTTCCCAGACCCCTTTCCTCCATCCGGACCCAGGTGGCCTGGCATGGAGGGCTTCCAAGTCACTCTGCGTGTGAACCCTGACTCCCTCATGCAAATCTCTGTCCCGAATTTATCTTCCTGTGAGATTAAAGTCGTCGTGACCTCATGGAATTGCCATAGAACCGAATGAGATTGTGTGTATAATGAGCTCAGTGCCGTGCATAGAGTGCGCGTTGTGAAGGGCAGGGGATTGGGTGTCCCCATCACCTCCTCATCACCTCCCCTCAGCCACGTGCGTGCGTAGAAGCCCCGGCGGACGGGGCGACAGCCGTGCTGGGGGATCAGTGCAGCCACGGGAGGGATGCCGTACTGTCTAGGGACCTGGGGGTTGGGGCTCTGAGTTTCCACCAAACCCCAGAGGGCATGAACCTGGGCCAGAGGGAGAAGGCAGTGAACCAAGGAAGGAAAAGAAAGCTGAGGAAGGGAAAGAAGGAAGAGAAATGACCCCCCTGGCCTCTCCTCCTGCCCCTTCAGTCGCAGGTGGCCACCAAGAGGCAGAAAGTGATTTTCGAGTTTGCGTATCTGAGCCAGTTCCTGGAGGAACAGCAAAGCGTCCTCCTGGCCCAGCTGGAGGCGCTGGATGCGGACATCTTGAGGCAACGGGAGGAGTTCGACGTGCTGGTCAGTGAGGAGATCTGCCGCTTTGGCAGCCTGATCTCAGAACTGGAGGAGAAGAATGAGAGGCCAGCGCGAGGGCTCCTGACGGTGAGGCCTGGTCCCACGTGCTCGCCTCTGAACCCCTGCACCTGCACCCCCTCCCTCACAGGCCTTTGACTGTTCGTCCCACTGCCCATCGGCAGGGAGAGCTCTGTTCATGCCGACCTCTCGGGTGGTTTGTGAGGGTCCAACAGGAAAGTGCGGCTGAACGCGGCACTAAGCATCGAGTGCTTTGCAGGCACCAGGAGCTCTTTCCAGGGCATCCTGTGCCATGTCACCCCCACCGGTCAGGAAGTTCTTCCCGGTGCATTTCACTTCTGCACACAGGAGGGAAGACACGCAGCTCCCTGCTGGGGGTGCTGAGAAAGCAGGGGGCCTGGGCCTCCAGCCGGCAGCCAGGTCGCCTAACTGTATGGATCCATAAGATACAGGGCTTGGTGTCTGGGATCCTGATGCCTTGTAAACCCTAAAGCTCTGTGACTCTGGGATCGGGGGCCCTTTGCCTACCGGGGAACACGGTATTTGTCTTTCCTGGGAATAAGGAAGTGGGGACTGATCTGCTCTCCCCTCTTTCTCGCAGGACATCAGAAGTACTCTGCTCAGGTGAGTCGTGGGCTGCCCTCCCCACTCCCGCTTGCGCACAAGCACGCTTCACCCCATGTCTGCACACGGCACCCTCACGTCAGGGGCGAAAGCCCTCAAATGCATGTCCACACGCAGCTGCCGAGAGTAGGTAGTGGGGTCCATCCCAGAGGAAGAAGCTCTGCCCATGGGAACTGCACCTTCACGCCTGGTCGGCAGGCAGCCAGCTGAGCCTGGGGACATTGCCATGGGGGACGATTCCCAAATCCCGACCTTCGTGTGCCCCTAGATGTGAGACCAGGAAGTGCCGGAGACCAGAGGCTGTGTCCCCTGAGCTGGGCCAGAGGATTCGGGACTTCCCGCAGCAGGCTGTCCCACTGCAGAGGAAGGTGAAGCTGTTTCTGGGTAAGAGGACCCGTGAAGCCTGGGCTGGGAATGCCCTCTGCGTGCCCTGCCCCATGCTTGAGTGACGTCTGGCAAGGCTTACACCCCTCTCCTGTCTTATCCGCACATCTTTATAAAATATGCTCGTCAGCGGCACCTGGGCGGCTCAGTCAGTTAAGCGTCCGACTTTGGCTCAGGTCATGATCTCACGGTCCGTGAGTTCGAGCCCCGCGTGGGGCTCTGTGCTGACAGCTCAGAGCCTGGAGCCTGCTTCAGAGTCTGTGTCTCCCCCTCTCTGCCCCTCTCCTGCTCGTGCTCTGTCTCTCTCGGTGTCTCGATAATAAATAAACGTTAAAAAATTAAAAATAAAATATGCTTGTCAGGATAACGTGACAATGAGAAGAGATAATGAAGATGAAGATTTCTGAAAAGATTTAACTGATTTTAAAAATAATTAAATAAATCTGATCTATTGGCATTAACCACTATAAAAAATAATGGTTAACAAAACCTGTCATTCTCAATACTTTAAAAAAGAGGCATTTGTAATGCATGATAAATTTTTTTAAAATTTTTCTTAATGTTTATTTTTGAGAGAGAGAAAGACAGAACACTAGTGGGGGAGGGGCAGAGGGAAAGGGAGACACAGAATCCAAAGCAGGCTCCAGGCTCCCAGCTGCCAGCACAGAGCCTGACGTGGGGCTTGAAGTCACCAGCTGCAAGGTCATGACCTGAGCCGAAGTCGGACACTTAACCGACTGAGCCACCCAGGTGCCCTGCATAAGTTTTTCTTATATAAAGTTTACGTATTTATTTTGAGAGAGAGACAGGGAGAGAGCAAGCGGGGGAGGGGCAGAGAGAGAGGGAGAGAGAATCCCAAGCGGGCTCCAAGATGTCAGCTCCGAGCCCGACGTGGGTCTCGATCTCACAAACCGTGAGCGTCAGAGGCTCAGCTGACTGAGCCATGCAGGCTCCTCTGCATGATAAGGTTTTGATGGTGAACACTGCTCATTAATAACCAGCGGCACTATTTCTCTCTGCCCTGCATGGCTGACCTGTCTCCCTCCCCTTCCTCCCACACGGCCGGGCACACAGGTGGGAGACCCCAGAAAGGTTGTGGTGACGAGAAAAGGTGTGAATGCTCAGAAGCGGGTCAGGCCTGTGGCTCTCAGCCCCCACCCACAGGGACATCAGGAACGCTGCCCCTGGTCTCTGAATGGCCCGCCCGGAAGAGGCCTGCACTCAGTCCACCCTACAAGTCCGCCCAGAGGGCTGGCAATGAAGAGCATTTTACTCTAACCAAAGGCTGGCCGTTGCCTATTCCAGAAATCATTTACAAGGAAAACAAGAAATAAATTAACCCCTTATCTGCTCTTGGAGTAGACGTTTCCGGAGCACCTCACGTGTCCTGAGCTCAGTGAGGTCCACCCAGGGCAAGGGCAGTGACCCACGACCTCACCCTGGGATCCTGCTAGGAGCCCATGTCCTTGGCCGTCCGAGTCGCAGTCAGGCTTTGGCAAGCGCTGCAGGGATCTGAGGCCGGGTTTTGAACCACTAAACCTTTGTCCCTTCTCTCTCTGGGGCTCAGTTTCCTCTTTGTGAAATGTTCTGTGGTTTTGTGAGACGAAGGGAATCTCATCTTGTTTCACGTCCTCTCTACAGAGAAACTCTGCTTCGAGTTGGACTATGAGCCAGGTGAGGAGCGGGTGTCAGAACGGGAGGGGGAACAGCATGGGGAACCTGAAATCAAAACAGAAAATTTGGCAGGGCTCCACGCTGGGCATGGCCAGAGTCCCTGCCCACACGTGAGGAGGGGGGAGAAAGGTTATATGGGACTGGGACAAGGTGTTATCAGGGAAGGCTTCCCGGACGAGGGGACTCTGATCTGGTTCTACAATTAACAAGTGACCCGGTGACGCACACACTGCTGTGCCTGATGTGCACAGTGACTCCAGCAGGTGGGAGGGAGGGCCTTCAGGTCTTCTCTGGAGGTGCTGAGTGAGTGGCCATCTCTGTCCCTTCGGGCTTTCCCCGCAGCGTGCCTCTCTCTGGACCCCCAGACCTCGCACCCGAAGCTCCTGCTGTCTGAGGACCACCAGCGGGCTCAGTTCTCCTACAAATGGCAGAGCTCGCCGGACAACCCGGAGCGTTTCGACCGGGCCACCTGCGTCCTGGCCCGCGGTGGCTTCACGGGGGGGCGGCACACGTGGCTGGTAAAGCTGGACCTGGCCCACGGGGGCAGCTGCACGGTGGGTGTGGCCCGTGAGGATGTGCGGCGGAAGGGGGAGCTGAGGCAGCGGCCCGAGGAGGGCGTGTGGGCCGTGAGGCTGGCCTGGGGCTTCGTCTCGGCTCTGGGCTCCTTCCCCACGCGGCTGGCCCTGGAGGAGCAGCCCCGGCAGGTGCGGGTGTCCCTGGACTACGAGGTGGGCTGGGTGACCTTCGCCAACGCCATCAGCCAGCAGCCCATCTACACCTTCACTGCCTCCTTCACCCAGAAGGTCCTCCCCTTCTTCGGGCTCTGGGGCCGAGGCTCCAGCTTCTCCCTGAGTTCCTGAGAGGGCACGGCCGCCCTCCTCCAAGTCCAGACTCATCCGGGGGAACAGAAATGTGTCGGCTGAGGACTTTGCAAGGACCAGGGCAGTGCCCTGCAGTCTGCTGACCCACCTCTCTCTGGGACCCCCAGCAGAGGCCAGCGCATGCGGGGGGCGGACCCTGGCGAGTCCCCAGCCTGAGATCAACCAGCTGTGTGATCACAGGCAGGGCACAGGCCTACGTCACATCTTCTCCCAAAAACATCGGGTTCGTTCCCTCGCACCCTCCAGAATCATTTAGTGTGTGCTGACCGTGAACCAGGCAGGATGGCAACCCCTGGCGGTCTGAAAAGGAAAAGGAAAAACTTCAGGATCTGAAGGAACTCACACACCAGACAGAGGACATGGGAGTGATGGAGGCTGGGGATGAGCCGCCCTGGCGGTTGGGGAGCTCAGAGGATGGGGCCTGGCCCCCCCGGGAGGGCTTTCTGGAAAGGATGGCTCTGAGAGATGAGTGTGTTCAGAGGGGGAAGGAGGGATGGCTGACTGGTGGCCCCGGGCCATATTGGGCCGCAGTCCTTGTGAGACCCTGACGCCACTGAGGCCTCCCTCCGCCCGGGGGGGCTCTTTCGCCTGAGACCAAGGTGTGGGTCTTGCTGGGAGGCGAGGCCGTAACCCATGGACCCTACATTCCCCTGCAGAGAATCTTACTCCACTCTGCTGATCGCCACCTGGGGCCTGGAAAGGGTGGGCAGGGGTGAGGCTTAGCTGTGGAGCCAAGATGCAGGGGTGCAGAATAGCAGGTGGGGGGGGGGCGGGGTGCTGGGTAAACTGCACCAGAGTTCACGCAGCTCCAGGCATCAGGGGGAGAGGAGGGAGCCAGCTCAGGGAAGGGCACGTGCAGGATGCCAGGAGAGACCAGGCTGCGTGGGGCCGCGTGGTACGGGGGATGCCGTCCGGTGCGGACCTGGGACGGGCACGAGCACTAGAGTGTGGAGAAGGACTTCGGTCGCCCCGGGTGGAATGTTAACTCCTGTGTGCAATAAAAGCATTGTCTTCATGCATTTTAGTCACTGTCTTCCTTTCTGCCTGGACATAGCCCTCACCACAACCTCTTAGTGTTATCTGTGTTCGCTCTGCTTCCACACCAACTAAATGTTGGGCCACCTCCTCACTGGCGCCCAGGTCGGCAGGTGGAAGAGGCAAGGGCACCGGGAGCTGGAACTGCGGGGGGGACTGATGGCTCCCTCCGGGCACATTCATAGTGTTTCATATAAAATGTTGTATATTCAAAACAACGGACACATAACAAGTCTCTGTATGATGATAATACACATCCAAAACCCCAACACCCGGGGTTCCACCAGAAAGCGGATTGTGTTTTTCTGTTTATTTTTACTGGTGTTAGCGGGGTCCCCACCTGCGGGGGGCCTGACACGCATCACACCCCCTAACCTTGGCCACTCCACGAGGCGCATCCCCTTCGTGTCCCGTCTTCAAGGGAAGGAAGCCGAGGCCTGGTGACTTTGGGCTGTGTGTGCAGCAGAGGTGGTGCTCCCAGGGCCGTAATGCACGTCTGACTAACGGGTCTTAACCCCTACACGGCACCGCCCTGTTCCGAGACAGGTGCGGTGGGTCCCGGTGAGCAAGCCAGTGCAGCCACAGTCCGCACGACGACTGGGACTCAGGACGACAGGACCTATTTCTCATGCTGAGCAACACAACCACTCGTGCGTGAAAACGCTCACGCCGCCGCTCCGCCCCTCACCCCTGCTGGTGATGCTTCCCTGACCTGGAGGGTGGTGTCCGTGCAGGGGAAGAGGGTAGATCCTGAAACACGGTGACTCGGTGAAGCTCCGTGCTCTGCTAGTCACAGATCTGCTCTCAGGGTCCTCCCTCGAAGGGCTGATGCTCCGCATCACCTCCTCCAGGACCCCACAGGTCTGCACCTGAGTTTTCACAACTTACACTCCACTCCACGACCAAGAATGGAGGCTCTCTCAAGTTAGTTCAGAATACTAGGAAAGCAGACATGCAAATAAGGAAAATGGGATTTTTCCACCCCAGGCCTCATGGGAAGGTACGGCTGGGGCGCTGGGAGCACAAAACCAGGCCTCAGAGCAAGGACTAGAGATTTTAAAATGCTAATAATAATAATAATAGCAGACACATGCAGCCCTCCCTCTGGCCTGTCACCACATTGAGTATTTTATATGCTGACTCTCACCACAACCCTGCAGGGTCGGCCGACAACCGTCCCCGACGGGCAGGTGGCTAAGGGCAAGCGGGCACATCCCATGGCGCACACTAGGGCTCAGGTGATGTGGCTCCACGTCCACGCTCAGGGCCACCACCCAATACTGCATTTGTGTGTCTGGAACTGCTAGAAAAGGACACGAGGCCCAGAGACAGGGCGACCCTGGGGCCACTCAGCAGGACGTGTCACCACACTTGCTCCAATACGTGGCTGGGTGCTCTGCTTTCTTCCGCTATGGCTCCTCCAGTGCCTAGTGACATGTTCATCATGGTCCCACTTTGAATTTCCAGGAGAACCTGATGTGCAATGAATTATCATCCCTCACCCCACAGGCTGGCCTGGCCGTGCCTCTGCTGGTCGGGCCAGTGGAGGACAGAGAGCCGGGCAGTCACCTGCAGGGGGAGTGAGACCCTGAGGCCTCCAGCCTCTTCCCAGCCCTGGTGGGATATTTGTGGACAATTCTGTGTGACATTAGTCCTAACCATGATGCAGGTGTTCTCAGCTGTCACCTGCAGGGCTGCTCTTGGCTAACGTCCTGTTCCCTGATTCCAGGTCTCCTGTTCCTCTGACTCATACAGCTTCCTGCCAACTCACTGTCCCCTCTCTTTTCTGAACATCCACACCAGAGCCTTCTCAGGCCCCTGCCCCAGGTCCCCTACTCCCTGCCCCCACTCCATGCCATGCAAGAGTCAGAGACATTTACCTTAAATGCTTCGACACCACATGAGGGTCAGAGGGCATGATGTGACCCAAGTCTCACAGTCAGCAAGCCCCAGGACAGCACCCCTCCCAACACACACACCAGGCTGCTCCAGAGACACACAGGGGCCAGAACAGGGAGCCAGACCCCCCCCCTAAAGATGCTTGGAGGGGGCGCTTCCCCAGACTCCGCGAACTTCACCGGACCTGCAGACAGTCTCTCCTCTTCCTGTGCCCTTAGCCAATGATGTTCCGCCATAACTTTTCCTAGCTTCAGGTTCCTGTGGTGGAACCACTTCTAGAGAGATGTATATGCCTGTGTGTCAGCCCCAGAGAGGCAGGTTGCTGGAGGGGGCAGATATGGGGGCCCTGAGCCCAG